GGAGTCTCACTACAAAAGCAACATAAGTAGGTCTCGAGACATTTATCCACCACCTTGGATTGCCCATCTGTTTGGGGATGGTAGGCCCTACTCCTTCGTAACTAAGTGCCCTTCATTTGGAATAGTTCCGTGCAGAAATGACTTGTTAATACCTTATCTCAATCGGAAATGATGTAATGAGGGAGAAGTCCTACAACCTTACTACTTGAATGAACGCTGAGGTGACTACCTTGGTCAATCTATCTTTACCACCACAACCCTTCCACAAAGTCCATTATTATGTCCTCCCAAATTCGCTCAAGTAATGGCAGCGGCTGCAACAATCCGGCAGGTGCCATGGCTTCAGTTTTTGTGTCCTTAGCAGGTGGCACGCTCCTCTACATATTTCTTCGTATCTGCCTTCATGCCTGACCAATATAGCTCTCTTGTCAATCGCTTGTAGGTGCGTAGGAACCCAGAATGACCTCCAAAGATAGATAGAGTTATGATACGTATATGAGATTGCTGGGATAAGTTTGGATGTCTTAGGTGGGTGGCCCTTGTTCATCAAGACTCCCTGTTGTAGGCTGAACGTGGCACACTGTCTAGATCTCTTAGTAATTTAGCTATAACTCCGGCTAGGTGAGTATCTGCTGCCACCTTCGCTTTGATGGTTTCCACATCCAAGATTGAAAGGGTTGTTAAGGTGATCGACTGAGGTGCTGGGGCATCCTTGAAAGCTGGGGTGAAAGTTTATTGGTTTGCGGCGGTTTCCATACAAAACCAACCGGACCCGAAATTTTTCGGTTTTGTCGGGTCGGAGATGGGGTTTATTGTTATTATTTTTTTTAATCATCATCTCCCTCCTCAGTCCTCCCTCGAAAGCCTTCTACTGGATGTTCCAAATCTACAAAGGAAAAAAAATAACCCCCCCACAACTTCTCTCTTCTCTCTCCTTCCCTCCTTGAACCCAAATCAAAAACCCAAAAATTATTCTCTCTTCTTCATCTTCATCTTCCAAAATCCAAACCCAAATCTACAGATCTTCAAAACCCGAAAAATTCGTCTCTCTACTTCCATCTTCCAAACCCAAATCCACAAATCTTCAGAAACCCCGCAAAACCTTTTCTCTCTCCTTCTTCATCTTCCAATCCCAAATCCACAAATCTTTTAAAATCCCAATACCATTCTCTCTCTCCTTCGAAAATCTACATATCTACCCAAATCTCGAAAATCTACCAGATCTACGTACCGCAAAAATTCAAAAACAGCACGAAGAAAATCTACCACAAAACACAGACACAAATCTAAAGGACATAAAATCTTTAAAATATGCTTCCGATAGCCGCCGGATTTGCAAAACGCCGATGGGTCGCCGGCGCCTACCGCCGTTGGACTCGCTATTGCTTATTGCCGATGGGTGGCTGCCGCCGTATCGAGGAGAAGAGTGAGTGAATGAGAGAACGAGAAAGTTTGTGCACGTTGCCGAGAGAATGAGAGTGGCGGAGCCAACGAGTACAAAGGCCCTCGGTTTACTGGGCTAAAACCGGACCCACCCGATTAAGGTTAGAAATCTGACTGACTAAAACCAACTAAAAAGAGTTAAAATCGAACCGAACCGAGCCGGTTCAATTCAGTTTTTATGGTTCGGTCTGATTTCTTCCCCCTCGAAAGGGCATTGGCCGCTTTTAAAAGTATCTTTTTGTTTATTTTTCTTCTTTACATCTCTGCTTGAATTTATTTTTTTTCTGTCATTTTTTAAATATCTTTTTGTTTATTTTTCTTCTTTACACCTATTTTTCTGGTTGAGTTTCAGTTTTAGACTATTTTGATTTGTTTAATATACTTTTATTATCTTATAATTGAATCTCAGCATTTATTTTGATTTTTAAATATTGTTTTTATTAAGAAAAAAGTATCATTTGTATTTAAATTAAATAATTTTAACTTTTATATCAAATAAGCGTTTTTTTAACGAAATATGTCTAATCACGTTTACACTGTGGAACCTATCTTTTTAATAAATCATATATCATTTTTTACAGAAAAAATATAAGTACAAATATATCAATACACTACATATAGGTTATTTATCAAATAGACAACAAATCCCTCTTTTAGATTGAAAAGAGTACTGTACGGAAAAAAATTATTCGAATGAATTCTAATTGAAATTGAGATATTTTTATAATAAAGAAATTGACACTTAGGAGAAAAAAATTATTTTAAAGAATTCTAATTGAAATTGAAATTTAAAAAAGTAATTGAAAAACGATGAAACAGAGAATCGAACCCAAGCAATATAGAAATAAACAATGCAGTGGTATGATGATAAATAATAAATAAATAAAAATCGAACAGAATGCGATGTGGGGATGAAGGAGCGGCGCGATTGACCCACTCATGAAGGAATTGCGGTCGGGATTTCGTCTGGAATTCGTATTGAATGGTTGGGATTCCACTACCATATTTTTAAAAACAGTTTATAACCTACATTAGTTATGTCATTTTTAAAAATAATATTATTTCTAAAATTTTTTTTTAGAATATAAGTGTGTTTTGAAAAAAAAAACTGAAAATAAGATATTTAGTGAAAAACAAGGTTGGATTATTTCGTTTTAGTGTTTCCATACGTGTTTGAGAGTAGATTTGGTAACTAAATCTTTTGATTTTGAATATGAAAATAAGAAATATAATTGAATCTTATTTTCTATTTTCCATTTTTAAGAAACGTTTTTATATATGTAGACATTTTAGAAACAACAAAATCAAAATTTTTCTTCTTTCTATTTTTTTCCAAGATAGATAATATAAAAAATATTAAAAAGAGTTAACATATATCTCTAATTAGAAAGTTGAGGCTGTGAGCTCAATTCCCCATCCCTATACCGTACTAAAAAATATTAAAAGAAAATAACATAAAATTTTTGAATATTTAATTTTCATATGTAACTTTTATGGGCAAATTGCACAAACCGTCATTGTTATAATTACACCTCAGATTTTTAATGGTAAAAATTAAACCTTAAAATTTCATAAAGTGAAAAAATTGCATAAACTTCCAATTTTTGAAAAGATAAATTTACTTTTACTCTTTCTACTTCCTCCCCTTACTAGTTCTTCTGGCTGCAACTTTTATAAAAATTTGGGGATTTACTTTTTACGTTTGAAAGTAATCGCAAGTCCCAGGAAGGGTGTAATTTTTTCACTTATAAAAATTTGAGATTTTAATTTCTAAACTTGAAAATTTATGGGTGTAATTGTAACTTTTATCACACTTTAGGAGTGATTTGTGCAATTTACTCACTTTTATTTTTAGAATTTAAAATTTTAAATTTGAGAGGAAGAAAACAAAAGATTAAATTATCATCAATGTTGAGGAATATTAGATTCAATAAATTTTTATTGTAAGAGTCTATTAGAATCTTTAATAAATTTTACAATATTATGGTTTTGTTTAAAAGTTATTATTAGTTCTAAAATATATCTTTTATTTTTTTTAAATAATAGATAAATTATGTAAACATTAACCAATTTTATTAAAAAAATCTACCTAAAATTAATTTTGATTATTAATAAAGTTTACAATTATGTCATATTCTTGACTAAAAAAATTATATCATGCTCATTAATCATTATTAATCTATTATTTATATTTCAGGTTGGAAATGATTCTAATAATGATATGCCTGGACTCTTATCTCCAGCCCAGCGGGCTGGCCCAATCCAGCATCCAGATCCAGTTTAAATTAAGTAGTAACGCATGAATACGAGCTGGCAGGGTTATGATAGGGGTTGCTTTTTCTCAGTACAATATGGAGGTGGATGTGGAGATCAAACTAACAACCTTTTGATTGGAGATACATGTCAATTACCAATGAACTATGCTCGTTTTAGCCCTCAGAACTTGCTTATTAATTTTAGAAACTTATTCAAAATTTTGAACAATACTCTTAAACACGTACACGAAAGATGTTTTTCTCACACCTAGTAACCCCAAGAAGAAGTAAATAAGGATTACCTAATTTGAGCTCAAAAAGCTTGAAATAAAAAATTAGCTTCTCCAAACCTGAATCACTTCACACCAAAAGATTCAATGATTCTAGAATTTTATCGTGCAAGACACAAGTTCACACACTGAACCTCGTTCAAGATACTTAAATTTGGGAGAAACTGAATTGAACTCTAGTTTCGTTCGACTTCTCAAACATTTTCTACAAATGAAACATAAGGAGGCTTAAATATATATAGATGCCCATTATTCAAGAAACCCTAAAATGCTTAAAACCAAAGTTAAGCAATATTAACCTCACAAAACACACTTCCACCTAAAACAAAGTCCATGTTTTTTCAAGGTCAACAAATTTCCATGGCATCCAATAATTTAGATGAGTACTAAGCAAGCAAAAGGCAAGGATCGAGGTAGATGAAAATGTTCAAAACTAGTCCTATTGCAACAAATTTGCATGGCATCCAACTTCGCCTCGTTCACCAATTTGCTATATCTATCAGTTACACGATGACCAGTACAATTTGGATCCGGAAAGATACGCCATCAAGTGTCTTCCTTTTATAAAATTAGAACAAAAATCCTTTGTCAAGCTACGTGAACTTCTAGCACACAAATCTCTGGCTCTCCTACTCCAGTTACTCTGATCTAACAATTGACTTAAGCATCAGACGGTGTTAAGAGGTATTCTCTAAGGCGAGGAATGTTGCAAACTAATCAGATCTCACCAATGGGCTCGACCAAATTTGGTGACCTAATCAAAATACTATATAACCAGAAATATCCAATTAATTAAGGGTTTAAACATGATTAGTGATTAAGAAAACTCTAACAATATCGTTTTTTCAATAAAGAAATAATCTTTTTAAAAAAAGAAGATTATCTTAATTTTTTTTAGGTGTTATTTGAGGCAGGTTGCTTCCCCGTGGAAGAAACTCAAGTTCCAATATTTAAATGTGAAATGACCCAATCAACTTTCCAAGATTATATAACACTTCCTGTGTCTCTAATCATCATCTTTCTTCTCCAAATTTATGTGTTTTTCTTGCAAAGAAAATTATAAACTTGATGGATAGAGGAAACAAGAGGGACCTTCCCAATCTTGTGGACGATAAAGAGCCCCGAAAAAGAATTTTCTGCTGCTGCTGCGGCCGCCACCATAGGTTCTCTTTTTCAGATCCTTTTGTTTTATTTTAAACTTTTAATTTCATCGACTTAAACTTGTAATTTTTCACTTCTTTTGAAAAGGTATATGATCTAGTCGGGTTTTTAGTTGAACTTGGATAGAATTATTCATCATCTATTGGATGATGAGTTGATCAAACTTTGACTTTGTGCTAATTAAGTTGATTTCTTTGAAATTAGTGCGGGCTTTTGGAGATTTTAGCCTGTTTATTGTTAAAATTAGTTGTTGAATTAACAAAAAGAAAACTAAATTAACAGAAGGACATAAGATCTGGTTTTCAGTAAAACCTAATGAGGTTTGGCATAATTATTCAATTATCTATATATATTTTATGAGTTGACTTGATTTTGTGCCAGGTTTGATTTGATTATTGAAATTGGTGGACTTTTAGAGATTTTTACCTTCTTTATGGTTAAAATTAATCGTGAATGAAGAGAAATTGAATTAACACATATGTCAATCTAATACATGAAAAAATTGGCAGGATTTTAAAGAAAAAATACATAAAAGTCTAATTTTTAGTTGAATTTTAGAAGAACTATATATTCACTGATCTATTTTATGAGTTAGTTGAAAGATTTATTTTATTGAAATTGGTGAGTCTTAGGTAAAAATATTGATCTTTTTCCCGTTATTATGGTTTCTCTATCTTGTTTGATTTGCCCTCAGTATTATTATTATTATTATTATTATTTTAATTATTTTGCTTGGATTTTGATGTGGTTGCGCTGTTGGATTTTTCCTCAGTTTAAAATCTCAAGCTGTCCTTGAAGCTGATGATCATGTTGAACCAGTGTCGGCTGAAGACTTGCAAACGGTACACTCTTTTTTTTTTTTTTTTTTGAAATGAATCTTTTCAGTTTTCAGATTATTATAAATTTTTGTTTTCTGTAGGCGCAAAGGAACTTCCACATCGCAATTGGAAATTATTACAATTCTACCAAACTGTAAGTGTTCTTTTTGAATTGAACTGACTTCAAATAACGATAATAATTAGTATTGTAATTGATTTTGAGATGAAATGTGTGTAGCGCAGTGCCAATACTGGATAATATCCGGTTAAAGTTTCTGAAACGTATTGCCCCGAGAATTTACACTGGCAACGACATTGTAGCAATGGATGGGAAGCCATTGGAAGTTTCAATCATCGGTGGTGCTGGAAACTTGAGAGAAATTATAAAAACGGGTCCTTTTTCGCAGGTCAAGGTTGAGATTTTGGTTCTACCAGGAGATCATAAAAAATATGAAAAAATAAGTGAAAATGATGTTTTGTTTCAAAGAGAAGGGAGAAGGCCCTTGATTGTAGGTGATGATCAAAAGATTCATCTGAAAGATGGGATTGGATTGATCAAGAATTTGAGTTTCACAGACAATTCCAGCTGGACCAAATCTAAAACGTTTCGAATCGCAGTCAAAGTTATAGATGAGGGAATTTCGGCACAGTTTCCGAAGATTGAAGAAGCTATATCTGAGCCCATTAGAGTATTCGATCAACGAGGAGAAGGTATAATTATATACAATAGGAACCGTTGCAAATACGTCAAAAAAAGAAAATATTTAGTAAAATTAGCAAAAAAGTAACTACATTTAGTTTTTTTTTTTCAAATATAGCACTTTTAAAAAGAAAAAACAAAGGTTAAAATGACAACTTTACTTATCTGTAAAATACCGTAATATATTATGACTAATGATGTATGTATGTGATATACTACTAATATGAACGTATGATATATTTGCAATATGTATGTGATATACATTTATACTAATATGAATATTTGTGTCAATATCATGTATATCATACATCTAATATACTACTGATATGAGTATTTATGTCAAAATGTATGTGATATACGTCTAATATACTACTGATATGAGTGTCGAATATACTACTTTGATATACAAATGACATGAGTATCTGATATATACTACTTGATATGATATGAGTATCTGATATACTATTGATATAAGTTAAAAAAGAATTTATATTTAAAAATTAAAAAAGCAGGTGACCTATTTTGAAATATATAAAAGATTTTTGCTACCCATCACAACTTCCCATTATAATATCCTCTTTTCATCTCTTTTATTTTTCTCTGTCTTTTTTATTCGTCTCTGATTTGATTTGTTTTGAAATATGGTGATCAGCAAACAAGAAGCATTGTCATCCCAAAGAAGAAGATGAAGTGTGGCGATTGAAAGGGATTAGCAAAAATGGCAAATATCACAGTCGTTTATTATCCAAAGACATCAAAACTGTGGGTGATTTCTTGAAGATTCATGCTGAAATGGGCGATGACTACTTGAAAAAGGTGCCTAACAGTTAACACACACGTTTAAAATCCATATATAATTAGTTCATTTACAATGATTTTGTTTTTAGATCTCAGAGAAATTTTAGTTTTTGGCATTTTGCGCCCTTTTGGAGCATAGCATGAACAGCAGAGAGGACGTGAATCAAAGAAAAGTTGTTTATATACATCCTTCTCAAATTGTTTAAGCAGAGAAATACCTTTACGTAAATCATCGATAAGTACAAACAGAAGTCTATATTGTGCCGTGGAAGATGGTGCACCACTAAAGAGAGTTTAAGAGGTATCGAACAAGGAGTCTACGGCATAATTTAAGAAAGAAATTCTTTCACGAAGTCAATAAGTAAATATTGATTGTAAATAGTAATCGTTAATTTTATTCTTTAGGCATGACCTCGTGGTCGAAACCATGAAAACGTCGACTTTGTCATCGTTACAACAATCGATGATTAAATAATTTACTAGATCTACCATTTTGAGAATACTTTAATTAGTTTAATATTTTAGCATGGCAATTAGATGTTTCAAAATATTTATGTATATGCATAATGCAGTTGCTTGGTAACAAAGTCCCAAAGAAGACATGGAACATGATGGTTCATAATGCTTTGGGATGTATCTCTCAGAAAGTCCCAAATGAGACCATGAAGAATGCTTCGCCAAGCGTTCTTGTCACTAGCTTCAATCCAAGTACCATTGAGGTTACTCTCTTGTCTCTCTTTCTCGGTGTCTGTTTGGTAACGTTTTCTATTTTTATTTCTTATATCTCGCTTTCTCTCTTAAAAAAAACAAAATTACATTTGGTAATTGTTTTTCATGTTCTTTCTTTTATATTGATAGAAAAAATATAATATGTTTGGAAACCATTTCTTATCTTTTTTATTTTGTTGTTTACAATTTTAGATTAAAAGTAAATAAATTTTTTATATGAGATATAACTTTTCAAATTTAAATATTCAAATTTTGCATGTTATTTTTTTTAATGAATTTTATAAATAAAAAAAGATGAAATAATATTTTATCTATATTTTTGAAAAAAAAAGTTTCTCTCTATTAAAAGTATGGTTAAATTGATTTGATATTTATATGAAACCAGGAAGATTCAGTGAGAAATGAAGCCATGGGAGTTGCATTGAACCACAACTTCACACTCCAAGACTTGGATTATTTGTTGTTTGAAGGTGTTGTAACTGACAACTTCTCTCTCCTTAATTCTTAGGTAAATGTTTATGCAAAAATACCATATACTTTTCATTGGTAGATTAGCCATATAATTTAAAAAGTATCACACCCAATTGATATACATAGAGCAAAAACAAGATTTGGACTATTTTTGTAATATTAAAAGTTGAGTAAATATGTAGCACGAGGAATGATAAAGTTGTTCTTTTTCCATTACTTTCTTTTTGTTTGTTCTATGAAAGTTCTTCCATTTCTTTGAAATATAGTGAGTTTATAGTTGCTAAAGCGAGCTGACATATACTTCGAACCACGAGGTTGTAAGTTCGATTCTCCACCTCACGTATTGTACTAAAAAAAATAGTGACTCTATAGGTAGAAAAGTCTTACACTTTGTGGGTCGGCCTAGTCTTTGGAAAAGAATAAAGATTCGAAGAAAAAAGATACAAATGCATGTTCTCATCTTTTTATACCACAAATTTGTAGATGTAGTTTCTCTCCTATTTTGATTCTCATATATAAAAATTTTAATGATTCTCGTAATGTATAAATTAAAGATATAGTTTCAGCCTTTTTACTGTCAATTTTAGTTCATCTAACTCTTGAAACGTTCGTTTTGGTTCTTGTACTTTAAAAAACAGACCATTTTAGTCAATTTATTTTCATTTGTATCTCATTTATTTCGATCATAATTTTAGCACGACACACTTCACTTACCAAATTTCTTGAAATGTAGCCAAAAATTTATATTAAAGGCCTTCTGTTGTGTAAAAAATGTGTGTTAAAATTTTGCAAAAGGGACTAAATTGATTACTTTTAAAATTACAAGGACCAAAATGGAAGAACCTACCACCCTTTAGACGAGATATAGATATCTTAACCACTAAGATATGCCTAAATTTGGTATCATCGTGCGGTTATCTATATTAGTTTTAGAGTTATGGAGTTAATGGTATACAAATCATTAGTTTTTCTATTCCATGTAGTTTGAAAAAAAAAACTTTATTTGGTTTCGAAGAGAATATTAAATTTATCTCGTGGTATGTATAAAATATAAATACACATCCCCAACAATATTAAATTTGAAATTTAACATTTATTATATCATCAAATAAAATTCTCATAAAAAAAAAAAGAAACCCTAATGAGTATTCTTCCATATATATAGTTACATTCTTGGCCTAAGTTGAATTCCCTCGACTACAAGGCCACCTCTCAAATGTTGACTCTCGACCTCTTTCAAGCACATCTCTACGTCCCCGTCTCCTAAATCATTGACATAAAACTCCCCCAACTCGATCTTGACCCAACCGCAATCATCCTCTTCCGTTTCATCGTCTGATCCACGATCGACAACTCGATTTTTACTCAACCCTCCATTGTTGCAGCCTCTTTCCTTGTCCAAGTACACTTCTCTCTGAGATGTCACAGTGTTGAGCTGAACTGAGGCTTGAGATGGGTGATTGTTTAACCCATAAGCTCTGTCTGCAAACTTCACCAAAAGATATGCAAAGTAGAGTGTTTTTGGGGAAAGCAGTTTGGTGTTGATTCTGCCTTTTATTTCTAGCCACCATATGGTTCTAAGTTCTGCAACCTCTTCAAATCTACTTCCAAAATTTTCAAATAAATTTAAAAAAAAAATATCATCAAAGATATTTTTATTTTTAGTTTCTGTACGTGTATTTAAAAATGCTTTTGAATTATTAGCTGAATTTCAAAAACAGAAATTCAAAGTTTGAAAAAAAAAATTAACTTTTATAATTTTGTTTGGATTTTAACAACTTTTTCAGGAAATGGATTATATTGCATAAAACTAAAAGTTAAAAACAGACAGCTAATAAGAGAGATGTATTTGTTCTAAATGAATATATAGAATAAATATTTTTATTCAAAGAATAAATATGGATCCATGTGATAATTTAAAAAGAAAAAAAAAAGACTTATTTAAGGACTAATTTTCTTTTGAAGAATTCATATTTATATATTTTTTACAATATTTTTAAAATTTTTTTGATTTAACTGAATTTCAAAAACTGAAAACAATTAAGGTTCCAACAACTACCATTTTAAGAATGGAAATAAAACAAATAATCGAAAACTGTTAACTAAACAAATATTTTTTTAGAAAATAAAATTCATGCTAGAAAAACCTTCATGTTATATCTAATTTATAGTAAATTTTGATAATTTATCAGTATTTTCATAAAATATTATTCTCTACATTTTTTTAACATTAAAGAATTTTTTTTTTCCTTTTCATCATCCTATAAGAATAAGAACATGTGAGAAGTAAAAGAAAGAGTATAGAGACCTTGATTTGAGAAATGGTTGCCTATTCCAAGACCAATATAGAGGATTGTTTGACCATTGGATTTGAAGCTCCCTTGCACCTAAAATATAGCATTTCTTACTTGTCTTTTTATCTATATAAAAGACCTGAATTTTGCAAAACAAAATAATATATGTGCCATCAATGTAACAGATTAACCTATTAATACAAAACAGAGAAGAAACAATATTATAAGGATTTTAACTTAATTAGTACCTCATCTTATGTTGATGTCATATTGTTAAATCACTAAGTAGATACTTGATTTAGTTTGTCTCAGTGAGCTTTAAAGGTTCTTAAATTTGAGATTAAAAAAGTTAGTCTGTAAGTTGAGAGATAAAATATAATAAGATTTCAAATGATAAAGTAATTAAAAAAAAATTGTAGGATTATCACAAATTAAATATGTGACAACCAGAGCATAGCTCAACGGGTTAAGACATATGTATTTAATTACGAGGTACTAAAAAAATAGGTTTATAACCATCCTGTGAAAATGTGGCTTTCCAATTCTAGGCCATACCTAATTTCTTATGAACCAAAATACGCTCTATTAGCTAGACCATAAAACACGAATTACTACTTATCAAAAGTAGGAAGACTATAATGCCAAATTTGAGCTAACTCAAGGAATTCAAAATGGTTGATATAAAGAGTTCAGATATGCTCGAATTTTTCTTCCCTACCAAGTTCGAAATTTGAAAAATAAAACAATCGACTCATCATAATATTCATAGGATTTCATCTCAAAACTAATACAATATAAATCTTATGAAGTCTCATGATCTTTTCCATCATCCTTAACATACCCTCTCTCAAAATGATGATTCTTTTTGGATCGACGTTCATTTGAATTTGTTGGACTTTAATACCATCTTAATATTCATAAGGTTTGCAAAGATAAAAGAAGTAGCCCGTGTATTATAAACTTTGTTAAGATTCTTGATCTTTTCGAGGTGAGATCCTTAACCATTCAAAAGGGGGGAAGCCAAATGTTTTTACGGCAAAATGACCCTCCATTTGTAGAAGCATTTCAAAGGTCATTGATGCATCCACAAGCAATAGAACAAATATGAACTTTTTTTTTTGGTTAAAAATTCATATTTGATCCACCGCCTGTTTATGTAAAAATAACCTCTTAAAAATGCTATATAATTTGCCAATCTAACATAGCTCAACTAGTTAAGGTATATATCATCGATCAAAAGATCGGAGATTCAAATCTCTTCCCCACATGTTGAACTAGAAAAGTGCTATCTACCTTTTTCATTCTCTTTTCATGTTTTCAAGACATGATAGGTAATATATGCATACACTTTGGAGGGATCTACGATCAATTCTTCGCTAAGAATTTGTAGCCCATCCAAAGTATACATGCATTCAGCCGCCTCAAAGAAATATACAAAATTATAAAATAATATAATTTTATTAAGCATAAATTGAAAATATATGTCGTAAATGTACCTTCTTGCCCCCATCGATAAGATGAGGACAACATAATTTGAGATATAACTCTTTCTTGGTAGAGCAAACTAGTGGGGAATCTAATCTCGACAAAACCTCCTCACAATCAAATGGAAGAAATTTCTCCCATACAACATCTGAATTAGCCATCGAATGCATCGTCTCGGAGACTATCGACAAACGACATGCTTCTCGAGTGGAGGCGAGCGAGAGAATGTGTGCCAAACAATCTTGAGGCAAGAGATCAAAGTTCATTGTTCAAGAAAAGAAAGAAGAGGAAAGGGAATGGAGATCTCTGTATTGTTGAAGTTTGAATGGTAAGACCAAATTGATATAATATTTATAGTTTGTTTGGTTGTAGAGAAAATTCCAAAGTGATATCGTTAAGATGACCACATTTTGGTGTTTGTTTTCCGCAGAATATGACAACATTTAAGAGCATGGATGAGGACATCCAGCTGCTAGGGGTAAAAATGGAATTTTAAAATTTTTTGTTTGCACTTTTGGTCCCTCAACTTGTCCATTTCTAGTTTTGGTACCTAACCTTTTAAAATTTTGATTTTCGTCCTTGAGTTTCAATCCACTTTTTATTTTTGTTTTTTAATATTTAAAATCTCAATTTTAGTCAACAAAACCTTGGTAACCATTTTAATTTTTTTATTGTTTGTTTTCTATTTTTAAGATTTAGGCCTATGAACACTATTTTGACTTATGTATTTCTTTGTTTTGTAATCTATTTTTTATAAGGTTTTCAAAATCTAAGCTAAAATTTGAAAATTAATAGAAATAGTTCTAAAATTTTGTTTTTATTTTTAATTCGAAATGTTTTTTAAGAAATGAGAAAAATACACCTAATAAATTGTAAGATAGAAGCACAAATTTTTAAAAGCTAGTTAACTCAAAAATTAAAGGTTACAAAATATTACATAAACTATTTTTAAAATTTCAGATTTAGTTTTTGTAAACCCCAAGGGTGACAGTGTAAATATGATATTAAATAATTAATAAAGATCAAACACAAAGTCTAGCCTCTGAATGCCACCAATACCTATGAGACATAAAATTGAAAATTGAGATCTATAAGATATATTTTATAAAATTTAGAGACCTATTAAACAAAATGCGACTAAACCTATCCTTTAACATATAACAAATGAGGTTACAATAAAATTTGAATATATTATGCCCAACATTTTTAGGAATTTAATATTGAATTTAATTAAAGGTAGAGGACAAATTTAAAATTTTAAAATATAATTGATGGAAGTAGAAAGTGGGTAAAAATTGACAACTAAAAATTTCAAAGCTCCCTCTAATTTTTTGTTTTGTTTTTTTTTTAATTTTTATTTTTGTTTTTAAACTTGGATAAATAATTCAAATATGTTTTTAATAAAAGTTTTAAAATATATTAAAGAACTGGGAGCAAGCAAAGTTAATTTTTAAAAATAAAAATTTATAAATTTCAAATAGGAGTTGGAGGAGGGTAAAAGATGAAGAACTAAAACTAAACTTTTAAAAATTCAGTAAAAGAAGTACAATCGAACCTAATTGTCATTTTTGTTTTTTAGTAAAAAGAAAAACAAAACACCTAAACATTAAAAGCATTCAAAGTCGAAAGCCAAAAACGTATACTTTCGATCAGATAGTGATAATCCAATCCACCTAACCGGCATATGTTTTTTCTTTTTTGACAGCCCTAATTGGCGTATGTTGACATAAAGTTAACTTGAGAGTATAATTAGCGAAATGAAGTGGGGCTACGCAGACCAAGAAAGCCCAAATAAACCGAACAACGAGTAAGGGTCGAGTTGGATTGAGACGTGCTTGGCGTCTAGTATCGATCTAAATGAATCATTCTCACAATGTAATGTAGTTGGACTCTAGTATCGATCTGAATGAATCATCTTTTTCACGAAGGCAAATGATGGATGGATTGTTGTCAAATTGAGTAGTTACTTTAGAGAGTTAGGCTTCTTTATTGAAAAAGTAAAATAAGATAAGTTGAAATAGCCATCCCAAAAGGGTCATGGCTGGGTATAGTACATCCCTCTTGTGCCTTGTTTTTTTCAATTTTATCTACATTGTTGAGTGAGATTTGATTCAATAATTTTTATACCTTTTAAGTATAAAATTGAAATTAAAGATAATTTAGGATGAAATTGTATATCTAGCCAAAAATTACAAAAATAGAATCTTTCTTTTTCTTTTTTTGCATTGATAGTGTACTTTATACACCACATCTATCATGATATTCAAGTGGAAATTATTTAACAATTTTCGGTAATTTATGACTTATTTACGTGTATAACTGATGTTTTTATAGGATCAAGTCATTAGAAAGAATTGGAGCATAAGCAATCAATTGAGAGGAAAACTAGAGCAAAAAAGAGGAGCTTAATTCAGCCACATCAATGTCGCAGCGCCATCATGTAGCGCCATGGCGCCTGCATGTCAGAATTGGGAGCAAATTCTCGAAGAAGTAGCGCCACAGCGCCAGTACACAGCGCCATGGCGCCTACAGACAAAGCTTAGGCCTCTTTCCGTGACAACAACGTCACAGCTGTCTGTAGCGCCATGGCGCTACGAACTTGCTCGTCCATCACAATTTTGGGACGGCGCCATGGCGCTGTAGCGATGCCCTCACATAAGTAAAATATGAGTGCGCCGTTTTTTAGGACTTTCTGGGGATTCTCACATTCGAGAATTGGAATTTGGAGAGGATTGGCTCGAGATTTGAAGCAAGAAGGGCGAGGAGACGATTTTGAAGGCTCGTGATCTGGAAATTGAGTCGGGGACGATCAATCGACACTACGGCTTTAGTTTCTCTCCTTTCCCTTATCTTTTCTAGATTTATTATGAAATTCTTCGTGGGATTTTATTGTATTTTCGTGAACGAGTAACTAATCTTCTTGTTCTAGAGATTGACGTAGCCGCTGGATTTATGAGTTGGATTTATTAACAATTATCTTGATTGATTTGTTTTTAATCTATTTGTGCATTATGCTTTTAATCTCTTGATCACGGATTAATTGTTGCTAAATCTGAATCTTACGCTCGAGAGAGGTGGTTTAGATTGAAACCTGAATGCATGACTGTGGTAGTTCTAAGATCGAGAGATTTAGAATTATCTTAGAGGTTGTTAAAAGATTAAGACTTAAGGCCCTGCTTGTTAATAAAACTAGATAGGGATATTGGTTTCTTAATCAGTGGGAGAATTAATTGTGTTCGAGAGAGACAATTATGATTCCTGATTTCTTGACTTATAGATTAATTGCATATTCAATCTTGACATGTTTAATTTGTCAGCTTGTAGGTTCAGTTGGTGAAATCACTTCCCTAGGACTCGTTCTCGAGTTTTATTTAGAGTTTTTTATTCGCTTTGTTATTTGATTTTTTTGTGTCAAAAGAAATTACTGGTTGTTTATTTAGATAAAATTGGAGAATAATATTTGTAGTACTTGAGTGACTAGAAATCCAATTCAGTGGACGATATCGATAATTATTTACCACTTTTATTAAAACTTGACCCGTAAGTAAGCATTTTCTGTTACATGTATACAAAAGTAGAATTCAACTCCTTTTATTAGTCCAAGTTTTTTTTTTTTTTTTGAAGATCAGTGGGTAGGATCCAACGTTCAACCTTAAAATTAATTTAAAAAGTTTCATTTTCTTGATCACCTTGCATAATTTAATCACAGGGAAATAATGAAATTAAGAGATGAGGGCTAAAATTTTTTCAAAGAATAGTAGCTTTTTTTTATTAGTAAAGTGTAAATTATTATCGTATATAGTTGGTTATAAAGGCTCCAAAATGATTTTTTAAAATATTTGTGAAAAATAATGACTATTAAATAATGAAAATTTCGGACTGACTAAATAAATATTTATCCCAGAGGAAAAGTAAATATTTATGTTTTATAATTAAAATTAATCACATTAAATTAAAATATTTTCAAAATATTAATCAAATTTCAAATTTTAAGAAAGTTTTCTATGGTACGTTTGTAACGTTTTTATTTCTTGTTTCTCATTTCTAATTTTCTATTTCCTAATTCTTGTTTCTAATCTTTTCAGAATTAGAAACAGAAATATATTTGGTAACAATGATATGTTTCTGTTTCTTAGAAAAATAGAGACAAAAATATGTTTGATAACTATTTTATATTTTTAGTTTATAAATAGAAAAAAGAAATACGTGTTTTCAAAAAAGAAACAAAAAGTGTGATAAAATTCCAAAATATTTTAAATTAGAAAATATAAAATATAAAAAAAAATAAGAAAAAACAAATTAGCATTCTGCGTATGATGGAAATCCAACCTTGTAAATGGAAAAATTACAATGAAATTTTGGTATACACATGTGCCACTAAACCATAGCTTAATTTTATATAATTTAACACAAGATAAATTATTTAATCTAAAGCAGTGTCTAGATACAACAAAAAAAAAAGTAAATATATATATATATATATATATACAAGAAAAACAAAACTTTTTTTTTAGTTTTCAAAATTTAGCCTATTCCTTTGAAAATATTTATCAAAATTTATAATAGAAAACGGGATGAACTATCAAACATATCTGTTTCTCAAAAATTCAAAACAAGAGGAAGAAATAGGAAAATAGAATGTTACTAAAACAGATCTTAATAGCCTATTTTTTATTTTTCAAATTCGTTTTGAATTTTTTAGTTCAGTATAAACTCATATGCCATGTAGGTCGCTCTTATTTTTTATTCTTTATATGGAATTTATACCCAACAAGAAAAATAATATCAATAACAAACAATATATAAATGTTACAATTTTTTTTTTCTTTTTCGAAATCTATAAATGTTACACGTTTAAATTAATGTAAACAAGAAAAATAAAGCTTTATATATAATTCCATACGTAAGACATTTGACACATGATATAGGAAAGAAAGTAATCCCTTTGAAAAAAGAAATTATAACAATAAATAAATAAATAGGTTTATTCTACTTCAGAGTCCATAAATTAAAAATATATATATAATTTGATTCTCGTCATTATTTTGTCATTAATTATCTGGACAGTGACCTGAGTTAGTTGAAGCAGGTATTAAGTGAGTAGATTTCACATACAAATGAGTTTACAAATACTAAAATAACTAGTTTTTATAAGTTGAATGATTAAAATAAATAATTTAAAACCACGCGTGACTAAAGTTAGTTGTTCTTTTTTTTTGTTGGGAAAATTTAGAAATTAAAATAAAATAAATCTAGGAGCCTTGAAAGTGCAAAATAAATCTTTAAAACTTTACTTAATTTCTAAGTTATTTTTTTCGTGCTTTAATTATTCTATTTTAATCTATTTTCTTTGATAATTTCCCAATTTAATCGATGTACTTCCAAT